CCTCGGCCTTCTGGGTTTTGGGTTCAGAACTCTGCTTTATGCAAAGAAACCCTCAGACCCAGAGTATCCAGAAAGCCCATTGTTGCTCTGAAAGCCCCTTACACCAACCCGACATAAACCCAAGACGCCAAACTCCACTACTCCAACCCTAAACCCTAAACCCTAAACCCATAACCCATAAACCCTAAACCCGAAACCCTAAACCCCCTCAACCCAAGTTGGGGCACTTCCGAGGCTACAAGCGGTTGCCTTGTTCCCGAAAAAAGGGGGCCCTCGGCTGTGAACCCCAGAATACTAAACCCCTCCGCCCTAAGCCCTAGACCCTGAACCCTAAACCCTGAACCCTAAACCCTAAACCCTAAAAACCCTAAAAACCCAAAACCCTGAACCCTAAACCCAAACCCTAAGCCCTAAACCCTGTACCCTAAGCCCGATAGTTGGACAAGTGGCCCCCCAGAAGTAGTCTGCCTAACTGTTGCAGGTCGGGGCCACCGGGGTGGTTTTCCTTCACTACGAGGACGAAGGCTCTGACCTCGGCGGGCTCAGCAGTGTATGTGTTTGTGTGTTTATATTATATACATATATATATATATATATAAATTTACTTCTTTATTTATGTGTATTTATATTCGTATAAATGTTTGCATAAACACAAGGCTTTCCATGACTATTTTGGCGTGGTTTAATGTACAAGGGTGTGGCCAAAGTGGCAAGGGAAAGGTGGGACTCAAACACACGAGACAAATTACGGCACTGACTCTAGCTATACGACTCCCGAACCCCTTCTATGGGAAAGAATCGTTTTCCTGCTATTTAGTAGTAGATTTGTTCCGAGATGCCTGATGAGATGCAGGGATTGCACTTCGAGACAAGTTCGCGAGGACTAGGTTCCAGCAATGCTTTTCAATGCTTCTAGTAATCCATCGGGTCTTCGTGGAAAAAGCCACTTGTTTCAACGTCCTGACACATATCATACATTCATACATGCATGCACACGCAAGAAGCCAATATACCTAGAAGACACGAATTCAAGGTTCTACAAGTAGGGTTTGCGTTGAGGGTTTCGGGTGCAGGGCCAGAAACCATGGAATCAGGACCAATATGTGCCTGAGTTTTTCTCGCCCAGGACTGGCCCCCATTGCCTTGGGCGACCGGGTGGCACCGCCCATCCGCGCGGCGCGGTGGCCCAGGGTTGCGACTCTGTAGGCTTGGAGGCTTAGGGCTTAGGGTCTGGGATTTGGGGTTTAGGGTTTGGGGTTTGAGATTTGGGGTTTAGGGTTTATTCAGAATCTCCATGAGGGCGCAGGTTTTGGGAGGTTACTCCTCTCCCACGAGGAGTTTCTACCCATGTGGGTTTTCAGGAGACCTTTGAGAATTCTGAGCTCTCCCAGCGCTTCGAGGCAGTAGGCGGAACAGAATTGCGCAGTCTAAGGATTGGGGCAATCGGTGACCCGAGGCTGAAAACATAGGGTTTAGGGTATTTAGGGTTTAGTTTGAAAAGGCGGTCAAGATTCCAGGGACTCGTAAGGTTGTACTCTTGGGTTTTGGGACCCTTTTTTTCAGGATCCGCTAAGGGAAGGTCCGAGTATGACTCCCTTGAAACATTCCGGGGGCTCTTGGTTTATGAACTTGTTGGCAGCCAAGCAATCTTCAACTCCCGAAACCCGAGGCGTGACTGATCAACCCGGATCACTGAGCTTTGGGTTTAGGGCTTAGGGTTTGGGGTTAGAGTTTAGGGTTTAGGGTTTTTAGGGTTTAGGGTTTAGGGTTGGAACAGCAAACCCCTTTCAAAGACTAGACTCCGATCCCCCCCGAACAGTTCTCTAAACCTCGACCTACACTAAGGCCTCAACCCTGAACCGATCACCCGAGGTGGTCATAGAGCGCATGGCCGGAGTGGCCCTGGCCGAGCGCTTGATGAGGTCCGAGGCAGGCGCTTTAGGGTTTAGGGTCTAGGGTCTATAGGGTCTATAGGGTTTAGGGTTTAGGGTTTAGGGTTTAGGGTTTAGGGTCTAGGGTCTAGGGTCTAGGGTTTATAGGGTTTAGGGTTTAGGGTTTAAAGGCAGGGTTCAATGGACACGAGCTGGCGGTTTGGCGTTTGGGGCGGGGTTTTAAATTGACTAGCGTTCTAAACCCGAAACCCTAAACCCAAAACCCTACAGGGTGGATGACGAGTTCCGCAGTCTGAAACTCCGGCCGGCCGATCTGACGTCACAAGCCTCTTTCGTGGAAACGCGATTCCGTCTTTTTGCAGGCCCCCGGGTTTCGTCGCTTCTGCAAATGGTTGACTGTCGCGGATCAGACAAGGAAGGTCCCAAAACTGATGGCCACCCCCACTTCTAAACTCTACAGACCTGGCAAAAAGACCACATCCCTTTCATAGAATACATGCCCTGCAATTACCTAACAAGGCCTTGCAGTTTAGGGTTTAGTGTAAACTCTATCATTTCTTAGCCCAGCCTTAATCGAAACCCAACATCCTACCAGCAAACTTGAGCCGATATTCCTCAACAGCCACACCCCCGCCTCCGAAGCTCCGAAGCTCCGAAGCTCCGAAGCCTTGGGTTTGGGGTTTGGGGTTTGGGGTTTAGGGTTTAGGGTTTAGGGTTTAGGGGTTTAGGGTTTAGGGTTTAGGGTTTTTAAATCCCTAAGGCCTCCCTTGGCCAGGCCTTGCAAGCCGAGCTCTTGAAGGGCAAGCTGATCTCAGAGGAGGCGTATGAGGCGCTACGCCCCCGTGTGTGGAACTCAGGGTTTCCCAAATTAGGGGAGAGGGTTTGGGATGCACCTGATGTTCGTGGGCTACGTAAGACGCATACTTAAGAATCCCACATGGGGTGTCAGGCCCATCTAGCCTTCCTAAGAGTAGGTTTCGCATCGTGAGTCCTCGCAACTTAATAGCGACCGAAGTTGCTGTAGTCGTATAAGCACATCCTCGAGAGCTCTCCCTCTCCCTGATGCAAGATGCTTGGCTCTGTGTGTGTGTGTGTGCAGGAGCAGTTCATCTTCCGCATCGACGAGTTTCTCGCTACGCGCAGGCGCAGCTGATGCGATTCTCAAGGCGAAGATTGATGCGAATTACACAGCCCGGGGAGAGGTCCCAAAAAAGACCTGATAAGATGAGCCTTGAATTGTGGGTTAAAACCCTAAACCCTAAACCCTAAACTCTAAACCTACACCCTAAACCCTAAACCCCAACCAGGCCCAAAGCACAATCCGAAGGAATCGGGGACGCAAGTCGAGTGTTTGCAGGGTCCACGACTCACGGGGAGAGCTTACAGTTGGCGTGCACGTGTTCGGTGTGATTGCATACATAGTCAGGGCATTTATGTTCCAGACACGAACCTTATAAGTCCCAAACACCATGTTTGTTACACTATTACAGTATACACTAGGAATACACCCGATAATACGAGATTACACACACACACACACTAGAGGTCGGTATCTAAGATGCGGCACTCGAACCTAACCCTCCAGGCCGAAGGTGAAACCTGTTGCCCTTGGTGTGCTGTTTCTGGCTCCAGATCTATGGGGCATTGAAACTCTCAAGGCATTCCGGAACCTTGTGGAGAGGCGGCCCTTCTAGGTATTCGCAGGAGTGCGGTTTCCGAGGTTATAGAATTGCATAGGTTGGGTTCCCGATAAAACGTTTGAACGAACGTTTCGGAACGAAAAGTTTCGAACGAAACGGTTTAAACGAAAACCGTTTAGAACGAAAGTTTTGACCCCGTGAAAGTTGAACGAAACGTTTTGAACGAATTGTTTTTGCCCCTGCCTTCGGCAGGAGGGCCGGGAGGGGGAGGGGAGAGGCGGAGGGGGGAGGGGGGAAGGGGGAAAGCGGGGGACAGGGTTTAGGGTAGGGTTTTTCGCTGAAGCAGGTCATGGCAGCGCGGCCAGGCTGGCTGTAACAGCGTGGCGGCTAAGGCTGGCCAGCGCAATGAAGGCGGGGGACTGGGGGACGTAGGTCTCCAGTAGGGAGAGCTCAAAGGTCCTTTCGAGAAAAAGGAGAAAATGGGCAATTAGCACGGGGAAAGCTAGAGAAGCCTAGTATGCTGCGGAAACTCCAAGTCAGGCGACAGGCCTGGGGCGGCAGGAGAGGCATGTGTAGGAGGGGATGCATCTGCTGGCCCAGTGAAGGCTTTGGGGGGGGTGAGTCCTCGCTTCTGCAAATTCTGTTACAGCTGCAGTTGCCCAGGCTGTGCAAAGTCAGCTTGCGCCAGGCAAGACAGAGCTTGTATGTAGTTTGGATGATGGCTCGAAAGCTGGTCTTAGGGTGGCATCGGATGCAGTTGGATTCTTAATTCTGTAAGAGCTTTTTAAAAAGATTGCACGGGTGAAGAGAAGAGACAGACGAATAATGTTTTGTAACAACACCTTCAATGAAAATCCGTCGCGAGGTCAAGCCCTTTACGCGCGCGAGCTTCCATTCTTATGTCCGATGCGGTTTTTGGTCGCTGCCTTGAATCTATGCATGAGTCGAAGTTACTTCGCTCTTTGTCGATTCATTGAATATTGGATTTCATCCAGTCTGCAAAGAAGAAGTGCTATGTCGGGGGGGGGGGAGAGCGCTAGCTTTGTGCACAAGCTGCGATGGAACACAGAGCATACAAAACAGGATTTGGGATCTGTTCCCTGTCTAACTCCCGGCTCTATCAGCTGAAATTGCTTGCAAGGTTTGGACGCAAGACCCGGGAAACGATGTAGAACTCAAGCCTTGGCAACGGCCTGGGTCTGGCTCCTTTCGTTCAGTCGATAGGGGGAAGAACACGCGCTTTTTTCTTTCAGTCGTTTCAATGGAACGACGAAGAGGAAGCAGGAGAAGCTGTCATGGGAAGGAGAGAGTTCACCTTTGAAAATCTTTGAGCGGGCTACTAGCATCCAGTGGCAGCTTCTTCTACTTCATGTTTCAATGTCTCACGGGCGAGTGGCTTTATATAGATAATGTATATTTATCACATCTATATATATATAAATACATATAGTATATACTATATTATGAGGGAGAGTCAATGGTGCGGTAGATGAGGTATATTTTGCGGCACATTCGTCCAATCAATGGGTTGTGCCGAAGCTTCGTTTTAAAGAAGCAAACCGAAAGACAGGAAAAGTTATCCCATCAGCAAACAAGAAAATCCAGCAATAAAAAAGGTGGCAACGATGGGGTTTCTTCTTCGCGTAGCGTGTCACCAAGGAGCGCAGTGGGGGACCCAAGGTAAGAACTATAGCGCAAAGGGACTCAATGTAGATGAACGCCAAAGAAAGGTTGGTATAGAGGACGACGTTGCAGTCAAATCTCACTACCACGATCGTGTTCCATGAAAAGTTTCGGCCCGATATAGGTCTCTCGCGCACGATGTCGCAGCTGGTTTAGGGCAGGGCGGATGCGGTTTGCGGCTTCGGGAGGCATGGGTTTCGTACCAGGCGCCGAAAAAAACCCTCAGCCGAATCCTCACCTCCGAAGTCGGCTGCTGTCTCAGGTCGCACCAGATGTCTCGATGTGGACAATAGATGGGAGAATTCCTTGGCGAACCCATCGCGGTCGGCACCCGCAACCTGCGCACTGGTTGTGTGAAGGAAGAGTGGATTTCAAGGATTTTCTTGGGGGTGGAGCGCGGGGGTTTGGGGGTGAAGGCTTGCGAGGGTTGAGAATCGTAGTTGCAGTCATCGATGTTTTTCGCTACTAAATGACCTGGTTTGGGAGCTGAAGTCACATTCCCGATAGTAGCACCGAGATGCTCTGTTAATGATTCCGGGACCAGAGCAGTCTCAGTCCAATCTAGAGGCCATACATTGTGTTAGTATGATGAGCATACAGAGACGGTAGGCAAGAGTCTGAGCTGGCGAATCTCCGAAGGGATGAGTGGAACCTGCGCTCCTCATCTCCAAGCTCGAGCAGCTGGAAAACCCCCTGCTCAACCAAGCCGGGAAGACAAACGGGAGCACCATACCCCGTAATCCTCCGTGTAGAGGGGCTGAAGACCACGGGGAGGTTCAATTGGGTACTTATGACGGTGGAGACAAGGACTCAAAGCAAGATTCTAGCCAATTGCAACTATAAGTGGAGCCCCTAGGATCAGACGCAGCTTTCGGTCATCTCTGAGGCTTACAGGTCTTAGACCTCAGAGGCACAAACCTGGCAAGCCCGAAACCTAAACCCAAGACCCCTAAACCCTCCACAGAAGTTGACTTTCGTGGGGCTTCTTACTCCTAGCTGGGCGACGGCTACCGTCATAACTTTGGGCTTGGGGTTCTGCCGGCACCCATACCCAGAATACCTGGGCCGTCACCCTGCCACCCTCCACCCCCCCCCCACATAAACCCCAAATCCCGCAGTTTGGGAAGACCACTAAACCCTAAACCCCTTAAACCTGAAACCCTGAAGCTTTAAACCCTTGAAACCCTGAAACCCTAAAACCCCCCATTTCCAGCAGTTTGGGAGGCCTCCCTTGTGTCCTTGCAAGGCCAAGTTCCCCCGGAGTTGCCTTCGCAATGCGCGCCCGGGACGAGCTTGGGGGGGGCTGGGGTTGCCCGGAGGCGAAATGTGGTTCCTTACGGGTTGCTCTACATATAATATATATGCACATAACATATTGTATAGATTATATGGTATAGTTTCTTAAAAGACTTCATGTCCTTACCGGAGGGAACCAAGGCTCTTTTCTTAGGGCTAGGGTTAAAGGCTGGCGGACGTCGATATGTAGGCGTCTGCTGAGCTTCTTGCTTCGGATCGCATCCCCTAGGGTTCATAGGTGGTTTAGGGTTTAGGGTTTAGGGGGTTTAGGGTGTAGGTTTAGGGTTGAGGTTTAGGAATGTGGGTTATATGGTAGATACCTGGGCCTAATGGGATTCCTATTTAGTAGCTTAGTAGTGCTTTAGGGCCCAAGCATCTACTCTTGGTACAGGCCTTTTTAGGGGAATCCGCACCCCGAATCACCCGAAGGCATGCCAAAGCAAAAGACGCCGGACACCTAACCCCCCCCCAACCCCCCCCCAACCCCCCACACCCCCCCCCCCACCCCCCCCCCGCCCCTCCCCAAAATCCTAGAACCCTGAAAGCCCTAAACCCCTAAACCCTAAACCTTAAACCTAAACACTGTGTCGAAGGGTTTCGGGGTTATTGAGGGCTCGACCTCAGGCTGGACGTCAAATGGAAGCCTCAAGGCATGCCAAAGGCCGTAAACCCTAAGCCCTTACAGCCTGAAAACCACGAAACCCTAAACCCTAAACCATAAACCTAAGCCCAAGCCCTAAACCCCAAACCTAAACCCTAAACCCTAACCCTAATTTACCCTAGAAACCTAAACCCCCGAGCCAGGGATCCTAACCCGGAGGGTATATTCGTAAACGAGCGACGCACTTCGGCCCAGATCCCCTGGACCTAAGTAGGTAATAACATCCCATTATAAGGATGTTAGATAAGGGGGGTGGGACTTTCATCCCAAACCACCCGGGGTTCATGATTTTTAGGCGACCCCTAACAGAGAACCCCAAATACTAGGATCACTATAAGCAGGACCCCAATAAATAGGTACTCGTGCGGCCTAATATCGTAACCCCATATCGGGACATGCCCTAAACCTATAACCCTAAACCCTAAACCTAAACCCTAAACCCCCAACCTAAACCCAGGATCCTCCGGGTGTGTAAGGAAAACAAGCACCAACTCCTCCATGAAGAAGGGCTACGGCGGAGAGCTGCGGGCCACACAGAAGGGCTTTCAGGGTTTAGCTAGGGCTTAGGGCTTAGGGCTCAGGGCTTAGGCATAGGGCATAGGGCTTAGGGCTTAGGGTTTTAGGGCTTAGTTCGCACACAGATCGGGAATAACTTGACCCGAAGATCATGCTAGCGTGACCCAAAACTGAGAAAGCCCATGTGATGCGCAGACGCTCAGAAGCGATGACAGTTGCGCTCTGGGTTTAGGTTTAGGGTTTGGTTTAGGGTTTAGGGTTTAGGGTCCAGACGACCAGAAGATGCGGAGAGTTTCGCAGACGTCCAAACGCGGGCGACAGTCGCATTGGCGACCAGAAGAAAAATG